AACCTTTGTCCTCACACCCCACATTTTTCGAACTTCTCTTGCTAGATCTTGATACTTTTCAACTTTTTATTATTATTATACTTTGGGCGTGATGCTCAACGAGTTTGCCTTTGAATTCTAAAGGTCTCTGAAGAGTCTCTTGGCCGAGACGAAACGCCGCGTCAGACTAGCCACGAACATTTCAAAAGTATTTGACAATTGTTTGCTTTTGTATAAATTATTATTATTATTATTATTATTATTATTATTATTTTTATTGCTGGCAAGACGGAGTAAACGCCACACGCATGTGCGAAGCCAATGCTGGTCGGTATAACTGGCTTTCTCAGGTCTATAAAGATACATGTAGACCTGATATCTGTTGTCTATTGTTCATGTTCTCTGTCTTAACACCAATCATTGATGCGCAAGAATGTTGGGAGCATCTGAGAACCGGGATTTTCTGATCACCGAAAGGGAAAATTTAAATACAAATGTCTGGGAAACTGAAAAGCACCGACAGATACATGTAAATTCATTTGAATGCCAATGTGGATTACTGGGGTCTTCTCGTCATTTTTTGAGGTTTAGTGGCCGAGTGCCACTTAAAAAATCCTAAGAGTTTTCTATGCCTGCAGAAAGTTTCGAGACTTGTGGAACAAACCATTTTTCTTTTATTTATTTTCCCAAGCCAAGATTGTATGCTGGTTTTTGAAGCGGCTCTGTACCCTTTCACTTGTTCAGTACTGACAAAAATTCCTTACCGTTTCCCACAGAAGAGCATGGCACGGATATATATATGGCCCACTGGAGTGTTTCCAAAACAAACTGTAAAGAAAATAGTCCAGTGGGAAAGTTATATTAGCAATTATACAGAGAGTATTCACACGGTATTTCAATTTCAATGCTTGGAAGCAACGTGAACCTACCGGCGTCGGTACTTGTAGACTTCAGGTCTGCCCGTGTAAGTGAAGAAAAATGACGTGTAGTTATACTTTCACACCAATTCCGTAGAGTAACAGTCACTCTTACTATCCGAACAAACCGTTGCTTTTGCTTCCCGTTTCTTGTAATCCACGGCGACAATTGATGAAATTATCGCTTTCGTTGCTTGCTTTAAGATATCTATGCATCAACTATTTCTAGCCATGACATATTGTTACATCTTGGTTACATGGGTCAAAGGTGTTTTCTTCTATGCGAAACATATTACTAGAACTTTTAGTTTCATGCCGCGCTGCCGTCCTACTTCCCTGCTTATGTTTTACCACACAATGGAGCCTTCTTTATCATCTGACTGTTCGTAATTTGTAATCCATTCCCGAGTCTCTAGCAAAGTTATCGATCCTTCTAACAGCTATTACTCTAAACTTGCTTGACTTGTAGCAGGTAATTTAGTAAATCTAAAAACACTACTGAAATGTTTTACTTCTCAATCCTTCCAAATTCTTCACTCTATAGCTGCCAGATTTCCTTGATAAAGACGAGCATGGCTCAACCCATCTAAATTACTGACCAAGACGTTTGGAAACCGAATGCTAACTTTTTTCCGACAGTTATATGCATTATATATTAGACCTTTATTAGAGCACGGAATGAATAATTTGTTTACTGTTTGGCAATTTGAGAGGAAAGTGAGTTTATGATGAAAGTGCTTGAAATGGGTAAATGACATTGATTTTGCCAGATTTCCCTGATAAAGACGAGTATGGCTCCACCCATCTGAAGAACTGACCAAAACGTTTGGAAACCGAATGCGTCTGCCAGTTATATGCATTATATATTAGACCTTTATTTGAGTACGGAATGAAAAATTAGTTTTACTGTTTGGCATTTTGAGAGGAAAGTGATTTCGGGCATTTCCCAGCTAAACGTCGTTCAGTTAGCAAGTTGATCGTATAAGCATATTTATATCAAAATTTGCTAATCGGACTGAACATGCAACTGCTCACAATCCGCGGAAAATTTGACAAACTGTAATCAGTATCGAAAAAGGGCCAAAAGATAGAGCCTCCAGGGTAACGATAACAAAATTTAATGAGTTAATAACGTATTGAGCTTAGTAGTTTAATATATCAATGGTTGTTTTTTGTTTTTCTTTGTTTTAGTTCATGTTACTTAATACGAGACCAAGGAAATAACGAAATGTAAACGTCCCTGAAAGTTTAAAAAAAAAACCAAACAAATTTAATTACTACAACATCAACATTGAATTTTGAAAGCACTGTCAAATGTATATGCTAAAAATGGAACGTACTCAGTAACCTTGATCATCAACTGGGCCAACTTGTCAATAAGTCCCACTAACTCTTTAAGGTTCTTTTTAACTCATAAAGGTTTTTTTCCATTTCAATTTGTTATTTACCGTATCTATTTTAGATATGCTTGAGAAAATAAATTCCCATCTATATAACAAAAGAGACATTTAAATGAGGAAAACAAGCGAAACAGAAACTTCTGACACGAAACAGAAACTTCCGTCACGGTACAAAACGGGGCGCAGAACTTTAAAGTTTTCGGTTATTATAAAACGATAAGTATCATTTCGCCGCATTGTCGCCGAACAGTGAACTAATAACAGAAGAAATTGCTGGAGATTGCTGTTAGTTTTCTGAAGGTAACGAAGTGGTTCTTTTGTTCTTGCACTTTTGTTTGTCGTTTGATTAAATTGCCAGACTTGACTTACTTGTTTACTGGCTCGCTTGCCTCCTTTCCAGCCATTATATTTACCTTTTAGTCATAGTAAAATAATTAATTTGCATGCAAGCGTACAGATGTAGTTTATTGAACAACGTTTCATTCGTTATATTCACAAGTCACATGTTTCTTGCCATAAGACGCTAAAATGAAATTAAATCAACTCCAGCGTTCGGAGCATCTCAAGAGCTAACTAAACCCTATACATATAAAACCTATACATGTATATAAAGCTAACTAACACCTATATGTAGACCGGCCACCGCCCACGTTGTTCACTTCTTTTGCTTGTTTGAACTACACAAACACTCGTATTTGTCCTGTTATATCCTGTGCTGTGATGTTTCGACGCAGAGCCGCAAGGCGCAGAAGAATCATGAATCATGCAAGCGTACAGATGTAGTTCAGTATTGAACAACGCTTCTTTCGCTATGTTCACAAGTCACATGTTCCTTGCCATAAAACGCTAAAATAAAATTAAATCAACTCTAGCGTTCGGAGCACCTAAGGAGCTAACTAGACCCAATACATATAAAATGTACACAAAGCTAAGTAACACCTATATATAGACCGGCTTTTAAAATAATTATATTAAAGAACTGAGGAGCTCTGGCCCTGACCAAACATAATATATAGGTAATGAAGTTCTATGGCGTGACAGATTATTAACCAATATATACAACGTAGTCTGTTTTCCATTCGATGTTTTTCAGTTTCGAATCTTATATCTCTATAAAATGAGTTCTTTTGACACAACTTAAAAGCTTATCACGTTGTCCACTCCTTTGACTTGTTTGAGTTACACAAACACTCGTATTTGTCCTGTGATATCCAGCTGTGCTGTGATGTTTTGATGTAGAGCCACAAGGCGCAGAGGAATCATATTTGACTCTCGGTACACGTCTAATGGCCAATTCCCTCTATGAAGTGTACCACAAGGAATCATGGTAGTTGTATTCATCATCTTGAACTAGATATTTGTTTGATGAATATAACTACCATGATTCCCTGCAGGCACGTCTCGTAGAGTATATTGTGCATTCAGATCACACGACTCGGAATAAAATATACAAATACGAAAGCAGTGTCTTCGATTGAACTTGCCCGTGACCTTCGTTGGTTCGTTTATTTGTTCCTTTGTTCGTTGGCTCATTTTTATTAAGATTTTAATTTAGTGTCTTTGGACAACGGTCTGCCTACCGGCCGTAAAGGCTATGGGAAGGAGTTTCAATTAATAATTCCATGCGTTAACATCTTTAGCAATTTGAAAAAATGAATACTGCTTTGTAAATGAAACTTTTGTTTCTTTCTTTTTCTTAGAATGGGGTCCTTTACAAGCCGTGATGTTCCTCCGACGGACAATCAGTAAGAAATTATTAGTCACTTTAAAAATTGTCACACGCCCTGTTCTGAATACATGAAAGACGATTATTAACTATGATTTCTGTTCAAATGTTGAATTAGGGCCTCTACGAGTGATGGCTACGAAGATGAAGATCCTCCGACAGACGAAGAGTAAGAAATTCTTTAGAAAGTAAATAAATGAAATTAAAAAAATGAATTAAGTATAACTATAACATAAATTTATTTCTGTTTAGAACGGTTAACTCTGCCAGGCATGATGACTATGAAGAGCGTGTTTCTCCGACCTACAATGAGGTAAATCTAACAACATTTTAACATTAGTTCAAAATCCCCATCTTTTGTTCTTTTAGGTAAAGGGAACAAGTAAAGCCTTAAAAGCCCACGTGCCTCATAGCTTTTGGTTCTTAACAGCAAATTCTTTAGCACGACGTTAGTAGGAGTTTTGCTGCTTCCTAATCCTCGCAGGTCCCCTGCCCACTACCCTCAGTATCATATCAGGCTCTTTCTCTTCTTAACTTAATCTTGGAATATCATTTATTGGTTGCATGGCTAAGCTAGAGCACGACTTGGTATACTATTAAGTGTTTGATATCAGTATCGATAAAAAATACGAAATGCACGTAGAAGGGGACGGAAACGACAGATGGTATTGCACAGAATTGAAAAAACGTCCATCACTTTATGTGTGGAAGAAACAGGCCTAACTATAATATAGGGATTACAATAAAAACGTTCGCTGGCTAAAAATTTTCAAAAAGAACATGAGCTTTCGGCTGTCGATCTACAGCCTTCGACGGATAAAAAAATGGAATGCAAAATGATAAAATATATGCAAGAAAAGGCAAGATAAAAATAATAAGAAGAAAAAAGCAAAGTAAAAATGTGTAAATTAGGTGACTATTGTTTAAAAAGAATACTATACTGGTTAGGAATCGGCTTAGAATTATTGTCAGCAGGCTTGGTCGCAGAGGTGTGCCAAGCCTCCAAAGTTTTTCTAATGCGAAAAGAGCCTTTGTCGATGACGCTAGAATTGTCAAAATCTATGCGATGGTCGAATGACCATGCATGCTTCGCAATGTTTGATCCATTAGCACATGTTTTGACATTCCTGATATGTTCTTTCTTACGAGTTTCAAAACACCGGCCGGTTTCGCCTACATAATACCAATCACAATCGGCACAGGGTACTTTATAAATCACGTTCAGTTGATGTTCAATAGATGGTCTGAATTTGGGAGAAGGAAATTCTTGTTGCAAAGTCTTGAAGGGCTTATTTACAACTTGAATGTCGTGCCTTCGAAGAATTCTTGTTAGTGGTTGCGTGACACCATTGGTGAAGGGGAGGACAGCAAAATTGTGGCGCAGCGCAGTTAAAAAACATGCAAACCAATTCTTCAGGTGTGGGCATGGCGTGTGTGGGTGGTTTGGAAAATTTCCGCTTTAAGATGTTGGAAATAACATAAGAGGAATAGTTGTTGGCTCGTAGAGCATCAGTGACTTGGTTGATTTCGGTATTTTTCCCTTGCAGTGTACTAGGGAGTTTGATTGCGCGGTGTAAGAGGTTCTCAGCTGTGCTAATCTTGTGGCGTTTGTCATGGTGAGAAGAGAAGTCTAAATATCTGTCCGTGTGGGTTGCTTTGCGATATACACCGATAGTGATCGTGTTATCCTTGCGGGAAACCAAAGTATCTAAGAAAGTGATCTGTTGGTCAGATTCCTCCTCAATAGTGAATGAGATGTGTGGATCGACAGCCGAAAGCTCATGTTCTTTTTGAAAATTTTTAGCCAGCGAACGTTTTTATTATAATTTTTATTATGTCTCATCCTGGCTACGCTTCAATCTTCAATTATAATATAGGGATGAGATTGGAAAATAATGATAGGGCACATGCTTTGGTTGTGTTTTGCTAATTTGAGTTTTTTCCTTTTACAAAGGTTGTCGGCAATTTCCCTGAGACTGCAGACCTGTTACTGCCAAGGCATAACCCATTGGAGCATAAGAACTGGGAAAATCTTCGCAGGGAGGATGAGAAGAATTGGAAAAGAACGCGACCGAAAGGAGAAAATGAGAACGAAAGAGAGAATTCACAAAATACCAATGTCAAAGTTCAAGCTCCAAGCTCGGCCATGTCGCGATCGTAATCAGCTAAC